GGTTAAGAGTCTGCCTTTGGCCCAGGTCATGAGCCTGGGGTCCTGGGATCAAGTCCCACATCAGGCTCCCTGTTTAGCAGGGAGTCTGCTTCTCCCTCTGCCTGCTGCTCCCCCTGCTTGTGTGTTCTCCCTCTCTCTCCGGCAAGTAAATAAAATCTTTAAAAAAAAAGAAAAATTGCAAGGATAATACAGAGAGTACCCATATATGCCATATCCAGTTTCTCTATTATTAACCACTTACATGAGTATGATACATTTGTTAGAATTAATAAACCCAATTTTTTTTTAAGATTTTATTTATTTATTCGACAGAGAGAGCAAGAGCATAAGCGGGGAGCAGCAGAGGGAGAGGGAGAAGCAGGCTCCCAGCTGAGCAGGGAGCCCAACGTGGGGCTCAATCACAGGACCCTAGGATCACGACCTGAGCCAGCCAGGCACCCTCTGATACATTATTATTAACTAAAGTCCATACTTGATTCATTTCCTTAGTTTTTCCCTAATGCCTTTTTCCTATTCTAGGATCCCATCCAGGATACTATAATACTTTTAGTTGTCACATCTTGGGCTTCTCTGGACTGTGCTGGTTTCTTAGACTTACCCTTTTTTGGATAACATTGATGGTTTCAAGGAATGCTGGTCAGGTATTTTGTAGACTGTCCCATAACTGGGATTTGTCTGATGCTTTTCTCTTGATTAGACTGGGTTGTGGGTTTTAGGGGAGGACAGCTGCAGAAGTAAGTGCCATTTTCACCACATCATGTCACAGAGCCGTGCTGTCAGCATGACTTCTCCCTGTTGATCATGGCCTTGATCACCCGGCTGAGGTGGTATTGGTCAGGTTTCTCCACTGTAAAGTTATTCTCTTCCTCCTCTTTCCATATTGTACTCTTTGGAAGGAAGGCACTACATAAATTATCTCTTTTAATCATTGGTAGACTCTTTTCATGACACTAATTGTTGAAGGATCCAGACCAGTTCTGCAGAACTTCCCAACTTCCTAATTGTTTCCTAATTGTCTGGTTTCCTGTTTCTGGTGTCATTTAGCTTGTTCCTCTTTCCCCTTTATTCCTGGAACCTAGAAGTTAGATTGAAGGGCTTGATATGATCAACTAACACTTTTTCTTTCTTTCTTTCTTTTTTTTTTTTTGCGCTGAGTAATTCAGGTAGGTGTGTTGTAAAATTTTGAAAGACTGTCCAGGCTGGCCCCCACTGTTCGGGGTGCCTGGGGCTACAGTACAAATGGGGGTCATCCCTTCTCACCCTAGTAGGTCTCACCCATGTGTGTGGACATCTTGACTGTATTCATACCTGCCCTGTGGCCACTCCTTGGACTTAAAGTCCACCTTGGGAGTCAGGATCCAAGAAAGAGGCCCTGGTCTAAGACCCCACTCTAAGACCCTAAGAACCTTGGGCCTGGCCTGGGTTCTTGCTCTCCTGGGCGGCTTCCCAGAGTGGGTGACCGGCCCTGGACCTGGAGCCCACAGTCACAGCTTCTCCTCTTCCTAGCTGCTTCTCGTGGACAAGATCCATGTGTCCCTTCTCTGAGACGCACCCTCTCACGTGTGGTTGCCCTACGTTGCAGGACTTGTGGGGAGCAGAAGTGTGTCTCCGTGTGTGTGTGTCTCCGTGAAGGTACTTTGTCTGGCTGGTCACTTTCTTAGTATCCTTATCACCAGTTTTCCTTTTCCCTGCCACTTTTCCTCATTTTCTCTTCCTCTCCTTCTCCCAGCACAAGGCTCCTAATCCCCACAGTAGTTGCTTCCTCAGCTTTGACTCCCTCCATGGGATTGTCTGCAGACAGGAGAGTCCCAGTCGTACTTAGATGCATATTTTGTTACTGCTGTCATTTCCTTCTCATGTTGCCGGCCCTGAAGGGGAAACACTGTCAGGTGCTTTTTTGGCTAATAGGCTCTGTGCTGTGCTTTGTAGCTTTGACTCTTTCATCTCTGGTCGCAGGCCTGAAATTGTATCTCCATGAGGGCAGAGCTCAGCTTTGCTTATCTCTGGGGAAGAGGAGGGAAGGGCCCAGAAGGTGCAGAGTACGGGCCATGACTTAGTGCTGTAGCCCTGAGTGGGATTCGTTCTGGAGGAACGGCAGAGGAGATCTGGTTTAGATTGCCTCAGGCTCACAGAACCAAAACCAGTGTCTGTTGTTTGGCAAGGAGCATAGTGAGTTTGATAAGAGCTGGGCTTGAGGGTCAGGCAGGTCTGGGTTCAGGTCCTTGCTCTCCCACCTAACTCTGGGCATGTGATTTCCTTTCTCCCATCATCTGTCAGGTGGGGCATCTGCCTCACAGAATTGTTGAGAGAATTAAATGCAAAGTGTCTGCAGCTGCAGGATCCCCTAGGCCTCCACCCAAGGGCCTGGTGTCCCGGCCCTTTTGAGGATAAACAGTTCCCTCATCTCCCAAAGAGGTGAGGTGGGATAGCATGCTGTCCTTCAAGAGAACCACTGCAGCTAAGCCCCTGGTTACAGAGCTGGTGTTCTGGGGCTTAGAAGGACTTGT